TCTTTTTAATGGATTCATCTCTTAAATATTACATAGTGCCCATCCCTGGCTGTCCCTTCCTTTTTAGGGTATCTCATTTACTTACAGGGCTGTCTTCCAACCTTTTACTTAGTGTTAAAGGGATAAAATAATGCTTCCTGTAATTAATCCTGAGCAAAATACTTAATATTTTCCATCAGTACCTCATTTAATAGAATAAAAAATATGTAATTCTTATATTCAATAGGGTACCTAGTCTAGAAATAAAGAAAACTAAGTCCATAAACAATAATTATTAATAAAATGGAGGCATGACCAAAAATAGCAAAGTAAGATATAAAAATTCTAAAGAGTGCCTTGATTCACGCACAGTTAGAAGGAAGAATAATCTAGAAACCAGACTGAATATAGAAGTGATTTTATACCTCGTTAATAGTAAGCTAAGTCTCCTGTTCACTATTTAGGCTCTCATTGGATTATTACATCTGTCATTTTATTCCATGCTATATGAATAAATATGTGGAAATAGTAAAACTTTATTTTTATGTTCCATTAAAAGAAAAAAAGGGTAGGTCAAGAGATTAGAGAATAAATCAGTAAGAAAGATTAGAGAGTATAAGCATTCTCTTATTTCATAAATATTTGCTAAACACATACTGAATGGAGGACACTATGATGGGAACTGGGTGCAGGACTTGCCTACAAGAAGTTGTAGTCTTAGTAAAAGAGCTAGGTGAGTATAGATAGTATATGCTATTCCACACTAGTCGAACAGGGGCAGTGGGAAGGTTTCCCAAAGAAGATGAACTGAGTCTTAAATGTTGAGGAGATTTCCTTTTCCTGCAAGATTCCTTACTAAATAATCTGGAAATTCTCACAACACAAAACACTCAGAAATGCAGAATAAAATATAAAAGGTGTTCCTTTAAATGATGCTGAAATTATGAAAAATCAATGTAACTCTCCATCAGCCAAAGCACAGCTAAGAAACACAGTGAGCCTTAAATAAAGTTTATAAAATTCCAAAGCTTTAAAAAGAAAATGGTAGGTTTAAACCAATACTGGGTTGCCCTGAGTAGATTTGCCAGACTTAGTAGATATCTCAAAGGGTAGAGATCTCAAAGAATACTAGCCATTTTTGGGGAAAAGGAAATTTATGAGTCTGCCCAAAAGAGTTGACTTATAGAACATTTGTCATGGCCTGTCCTCCAAGTTCAGGAGCCAGAGTTGGGTATGAGGAGAGGTTTGTCTTTTTAAAATTTACACTACTTTTAAGTGTTCCCCAGGCTAAGAAGTTAATTTAGGGACCTCAGAATGATATGGAGCCTGCAGAAACAAAAGAAATCATCCTGGAAAGATAGGCTCTCAATCCAGGGAACACAGCAAAGAATTTTTAACAGATAAAGCATACTTAAAATGAATTTACAGTTCAAACTTCAAAAAGCACACAAGAAGCAGTCAACAGTAAGCAAATCTCATGCAGCACAGCCCACATAACATGTAGACTCACTCGCTTTCTCCCCCAAGCTCAAATAAAAGAAATATAGGTACTCTAAAATATATCTATCTAAAACACTAAAATTTATCAACGGCAGATTTTTAAAGCTTGATAAAAAAAGCCAGAAATATTTTTAAAAGGTTAGAGAACAGTTTTCAAGTAGCGTTCAGAGCATTTACAGCAGTAAGAGTACAGACATTGGGATTAGCAGTCAAAATTGGGAGGAGAAGAAATTAGGAAGATGAACAAGGTTCAGGCATAATTGCTTTGCATCCTGTGTTAAGGAGGATTCCTGTTTGCAAGTGGCAAGAATGATCACATTTGTCTAGGGAGTGTATTGCTGCTGTTTCACCTAACCCAGAAAGGCAAGGATATGGTTAGAATGACAAGAACCAGAGAATCTCTCTTCATCTCTCACCACTACCTTTTTCTTAGTGAATATTTCACTCTTTCCTACTGTAGACTGGTTTTTCTCCAAAGTGCAGGCCATTGCCATTTGCACTTCCTGGCTCACATCTTTCACTTTTTTTTTTTAATTGTGATAAAATATGCTTAACATATAATAAACCACTGTAACCACTTTTGAGTATATGGTTCAATGACTAAATATAATTGATGTATGTTAAGTACATTATTGTGCAACCATTTCTACTCTTCAGCTCCAGAAAATATGCACCATCCCAAAATGAAATTCTGTACCTATTAAGCAGCTACTCCCTTTCTTTCTTCCCTCCAGCCCCTGGTAACCACTATTGTATTTCAGTCTCTGTGGATCTGACTACCCTAGGTACTTCATCTAAGTAAAATCATCATACAATATTTGTCCTTTAGTGTCTGACTTATTTCATTACACCCAGTGTTTTTTATCAGGGAGGAAAGAACCTTCTCTATACACAGATTTCCATCCCCTGGCTCCATTTTCTAAATCCTGAGAGAAAAATGCTAATGGGTTTTCCCTGCATATAGTACTGACATTTAGCTCTGGAGGGTGATGTGCATATTAGCTCAACTTGGGTTACCTGCACCCCTGGAATTTTCATCAGTTCTCTGTATAAACATACCTTATTTCTGCCTATCTACGTCTAAAACAGCACCCCATGTCACACTAGACTCTTTCTGCTTTGTATTTTTCTTCCAGGGTACTTAATACTCCTTGTTATGTAATGGATTTAGCTGTTCATTACTTCCCTTATTTGAATATAAAATTTATAACATCAGGGACCTTCTCTGTCTTGCTCACTGCTCTTTCTGGTACCTAAAACAATGACTGCAACATAATAGGAGCTCACTAAATACTTTTTAATTAACTGGAAGTTGTGGTAGAGATATAAATTTAATATTCATTGGTAAAATGATTAATAGAAATTATGTTTCTACCTCCCTAATGAAGACAAACAATTAGAAATTAAAAGAAACTGAGTATATATGGAACAGAGTATATATTAAGTACAGTGCTTAAACAAATTAATGCATAAGTAGCAAGAGAACTGTATTCTCTAAACATGGATAATTGTGGAAAATATAACCTTGTTTGATGGATAGTAAATAGGGTCCATATTACTATGTTGCAATAGCTTAGGCCTTTTCTGAAATTGTATGTTCCATTGTGTTCCATTGCTGGATTTTTAAGCCGTAAATGTGAATTTGTATAAGCTCGGTAGTTGTGTATCTACATATACTTACACACACACATACCCACACACACACACACATTTTATTGATCAGCATTGGAAACAGGCAAAGTAGATATGTCAAGCTGTAACAATCAGAACAGTTCTTTCAAAATTGTCCTTAACTAGAGCCAGGCAGGATGGAATACTCTGCCACATAGATTCATGCTGCCTCTCAGGAGCATCACTGTAGCTTCCTCAGCTCTCTTACCCTACCTTTCCTTAACCTTGAGGGCAGAGCAAAGCCAGAGGGAGGCAGGCAACAAGGTAGGAGTTGTATTGAAAAAGAAAAGAGGTAGGCAAAAAGTGTCTATCTTTCTAACTTCTTGGTGCTTTCCACCTTTTATTCCCCTTAGACTCTAGTTTCTTAACTAGAGTTAAGAAGTTATGTTTACTAGAATAAACATCATAAACATCTTATGATGTTTAATGCACATCCCAAACTTAGCCACTGTGTACCTCAGTCATATTCGTAGGATTCCTCAAAAATATTGACTTCAGGCGAGCAGACCTCTCCTGTCTCGCCCGCTGCTTCCCTCAGCAGTGTATTTTGTCAGTCTGCCCGTTCTGTTCACTCTATCTCTGGTGAATCCTCTCACCCTCCTGTGCATCTGGCCTGTACCCCAGCTCTTGTATAAATAAAATAAAATCTATAAAAAAATATTGACTTCATATCTCCACCCAACCACCAACACCTCACCTCAAAATCCAGTGAGCACTCCCATTCCCTCATAGGAAAAAAATTAATGTATAATGGCTCAAGTTTGTCCTCCTGACCTCACCAGCTGTCATGACTGCCAAACCTATCTAGTTCTTAAAAAGTCCTTAAGACATGACTTTTTTTCTTACTACATATCTGATCCAGAGAATAAGTTCACTGTGGGAGCTTTTTGTTTTTCTTCCTAGGGCATTAAGTAAAGAGAACCATAGCCAAAATGTTGTGGGGACCAACTTCCACATTCAGCTTTTAGAAAGTGGGAAAGGCTACTATGACGTGCCTAAAGATTTAAGAAATAATCTCACCCCACCCTCTCCCAGGTATTCACAGTAATGATTAAGCATTTATTTGTATTTCTGTGCATCTGAATGATCATACTTACTGCTAAGTGCGTATTAGATTAATTACTATATTCTGCTTTTCACCTTTTAATCTTGATTGTTGCTCTTGTAATGTGATTACCTGCTCTCAGTTTAAGAATAGCATTGCTAAAAAGTACTCATTTGTGCTATAATTAGTATATCTAGTTAGAATATCTTGGTTTTTTAAAGAACAAAAAAAATTAACTCTTGGAGTTTCTTGAGTAAATTGTGGGAACTTTTGACTTTATTAAACTTCTGGGGTGTGCCTTGAAGACACATTTCTCTATATTTGATCTAAGTAGGAAGCCTAATGTTATGAGCCTAGAATTAGTGAGTCATGAAAAAGGGATTAAAATGTTATTGACTCTTAAATAAATCACAGACCTTTTAGACAGATTTGGGAGCAAGTATAGAAAAAAACGTAATAGTAGCTAAGATAAATTATATACAGCACCCATTTTTCTGTCACTTACTGGGTAATCAGTCTGCTGCATTTTAAGGGATTCCCCTGGTTTACTATCTGTAACTGTTGTTATGCTTTCACTTTTCTATAGCTGGTGCAGTGCACAAGTTACCATTCTACTTTTCTCTGCTTTCCAACAGAGCAAGCTCTGTTGAAAATTACTGAGAGGCTCAAAGAAATGATTTCTTTTCCTGTGTCTCATAAATGTTGAACTTTGGTCCACTGAGTGCGTTTACTGTAGCTTATGTACTCTCCTACTACTTCAGTAGCTCAGATTTCTAAAATGTATTATATGTTTGTTTTTTTACAGGACAATGAAGGTCAAACAGCTCTACATTATGGTAAGATGTTTCTAAATTATTAATAAATATATTTCAGACTTTTCTCTGTCAATTTTGTCCAACCTACTGTAGTGCTTAGAAAAATGCCTGGCAGCAAGCAGAGACACAGTAACTTTGTGTTTAAAAAATAGATTGCTAACCTATAAAGTTAAGAGATACATTAAATTTCTTATTGGCATATTCATTGTGAATTGAGCATTTCTATATGATCAACAGACATGAAAGTTTCTCCAATTCCCCTTTGAAAATTCGTTATTTCTTTCTTGTAGTGTCAATAACAATTAAGTCACTTGTCGTTGTCAGCATATGATCTAGAATCTCTCCTACTGTATCATCTAGAATCACTCCCACAAGAAATTCTTTCTTGATGAGATTGAAGTAAAGAAAAACAGCTTTTTTTAATGTTTTGATTTTTTTTCCATGTATTTCAACTTTCATTGAACTAACATTCCATTGTAATATGTAGGTTTCAGGTAAGCATCATTAGCAATCAACATCTGTCTGTAACACATTATGTTTACCACCAAAAGCTCAATTCCATCCTCCATTCTACACTTGACACTTTAACCAGATTAATCCATTCTGCATTGCTTTTTCCTTCAGTTAACCTAATTTGGTCTTATAGTCTAAACATATATTTTTGTTTTAATCATTATTTTGTTTTGCTTCTTAATGTACAACATATGAGTGAAGATTTTTTTTAACTCATTTCCCCTACTAACTGATTAGCCTAGTTAAGTAATCTTCACTTACACCATCTATAGGTCAAGGATAATCAATAAGACAGATACATGACTCTTAAAGAGTACTGGATAAGTTCAGTGAAATAAAATGTTATTTTGGGGCCTCCCCAGTGGCGCAGTGGCTGAGTGCTGGGTTGCGAAGCTGCCTGCAGCCTCTGCAGCGTGGGTTCGATTCCGAGCTGCTCCCCAGCCACCAGAGGAGGGTCCCACATGGTGTACAGACCTCTCCTGCCGCCCGCTGCTCCCCTCAGTTGTGTACTTCGGTCCTTCTGCCTGCTCTGCTCCCCGCTCTGGCTCTGGTGAATTCTCTCACCCTCCCGCGCTTCTGACTGTACCCAGTGCTTGTATAAATAAATAAATAAATCTAAAAAAAAAGCACAATGGAATATTTAAGAAACCTTAAAAAAAATTTAAAAAAATAAAATGTTATTTTGTAAACCATAAAGTATATTAAAAGTATTCTTACTTTTATTCTGTTTGGGTGTGAATATGGATGAATAAAAGGCAGCCAGTGGTTTTTAAGCAGATTAAGAGTCAGCCATCTTCAGATCTTCTGGGACAGAATATATTATACTGTTTTGCTGGTTTTGGCAATCCTAGACCACCATTCATGAGTAAGTAGCCCAGATGCTCCTGGGCACTTTTGTCCACTGCTTAGTGTTTGCTTGGATGTCAAGAATCCCACTGGGGGGCCTCTCCAGTGGCGCAGCGGTAGAGCACTGGGTTGTGAAGCTGCCCGCAGTCTCTGCAGCACCGGTTTGATCCCCGGCCACCGAGGGTCCCACATGGCGCGACAGACCTCTCCTGCCACCCGCTGCTCCCCTCAGCAGTATAGTTCGTCAGTCTGCCTGTTCTGCTCCCCACTCTAGCTCTGGTGAATTCTCTCACCCTCCTGTGCTTCTGACTGTACCCAGTGCTTGTATAAATAAATAAATAAATAAATAAATAAATAAATAAATAAATAAATAAATCTTTAAAAAAATGATAGAAATTCTATATATTAAAAAAAAATCTCACTGGGATTGTATCTAAAAGATATCTATATTTATCAGCCTGATAATGAATATTGAAATGTCACCAGATACCCAACTCAGTATAACCTAGGTACCAAAACCATGAATACTGTAAGTCAGTGCCACATTTGAACTTAGATACAAAAGTCCAAAATAAAATATTATCAAATGAAATCCATCAATGTATTTTAAAAACGAAGATGTTGTGATCAATTGAATTTATCTAAGAAATTCAAAGATGATTTCACATTTTAAAAAATTGTTAATGTAGTTGACTCACCACATTAACAAACCATTCAGTAGGTAAACAAACAAACAAATAAACAAAAACAACCAACCACCATATGGTACACTCAAATACAGAAAAGACATTTGAGGAAATTTAACACTCATTCTAAGAAGCAATATAAAAAAGTGGTTAAGGCTGAAGGCTTTTAAGTCAGAGATCTTATTTCAAATTCTAGCTCTGCTGTGGAACACAGACAGATTATTTAATTTTACTGTATCTTTTTACTCATGATAATGGGAATAATAACCTCAGAGATTACTTGAGCATATAATTAGTTAATCCATGTAAAGTACTTAGAATAATGCCTGACACCTGGTCTATACCTGATAAATGTTAGCTGAAGTTATTATTTATGATCAAAAGTATTAGTAAACTGGAAATGAAAGGAAGCTTCCAATGCCTGATTGAAAACCTAGTGTAAAATTATTATTAAAACTGGAATATTTGAAGTATTTCCTTTAAAATCAGGAATAAGAAAATAATGCCTACCACAACTATTTCTTGATAGGTTTTTTGGAATTTTATAGTACACAGAAAGAAAAGCTTAAGAAATAAAAGGTACATGGGATAGATAAAAAGAAACAAAATAATATAATATAACATTATAGTATATAATATAATATAACAAAATAATATAAATGGTTACATAGAAATCTAAGAGCTCTACAGTCAAATTATTAAAACTAGTAATATAGTTTAGCAAGGATGCTAAATACAAAATCAGGTTTTTTTAATTTCATTCTTAGACCTTAATATAAAAAGGTAGAACATAAAACTTTTTTTAAAGATTTATTTATTTATGCATACAAGATCTGGGGTACAGTCCAGAGGTGTAAGGGGTAAGAGGATTCACCAGAGACAGAGTGGGGAGCAGAATAGGCAGATTGACTTAAATACATTGCTGAGGGTAGCAGTGGGCAAGTCAGGAGAAGTGTGCTGTGCCATGTGGCTAGCTCCCTGGCTGGGGATCGAACTCATGCTGCAGTGGCTGTGGATAGCTTCATAGGTTGTGTCTTAACCTCTTGCGCCACCAGGGAGGCCCAAACATTTTAAAGACTATTTTAAAAAGCAATAACATCCTAGAATTCAGCCTCACAAAGACATGCAAAACCTTCATGGAAAAAACTACACCACTTCTAAAGACATTTTTTAGAGACCTAATAGGAGAAATAGTCCATTTTAATGAATAGGAAGACTCAGTATTATAAAGATGATTTCATTCCAAGCTAACCTTCAGAAAATTTTCATAGACTCTCAGCAAGGTTTTGTGTACTTTAACAAGCTTGTCCTCAAATTCAAATTGAAGAATAAAGGACAAAGAATATCTAAGGCAATTTGAAGAAAAATAAGAAAGAGGGACTTACTCTTCCAAACATCGAGATGTTATTTTAAAGTTATAATAATGAAGGCACAGTTTGACTTCTGCCAGTGCAGGGGAAGTTTATTGAACTACTCCTCTGTAAAAGTAATAAAAACTATTTTTAACAATACAGTCATTTAATGTTTCTGAAAATGGTTCTGACAAACAACAAATGTAGAAGTATCTAGTTAAGAAAATTTGGCAAGAAGACAAAAGTTTGTGGTATTTGAAGCAATATCACTCCCTCCTCCCCCACCCCTTTCTCACCCCTATGCAGCAGCACAAAGATTCCACTCAGAATGCTATAGCCAAGGCGGGGCAGACCTCTCCTGCTGCGCCCGCTACTCCCCTCAGCAGTGTATTTCGTCAGTCTGCCTGTTCTGTTCCCCGCTCTGTCTCTGGTGAATCCTCTCACCCTCCCGCACATTGGCCTGTACCTGGTTCTTGTATAAAATAAATAAATCTTAAAAAAAAAATTAATGTTTAAAAAAAAAAAAAGAATGCTATAGCCAAGAACACAGAGCTCCCTCTCCAACCAGCTCCCAATCAGCGCTTTCTTCCTGGAAGAAGCAGAATTTCAGTTTTTCTCATTCTGCCTCCAACTACTGCTAGGGCAAAGTTTCTGGGCAAGTATGATTGAAAGACGAGGGGTCCCTTCTTTTTCCCATTATAACCTCATGAAAGGGAGGCTCTGCTTTAGACAGAGTACACTGAGAATACTTGGGCCCAGATCACCTTTGCCCTGGCTTGTTTGTTGGTAGTTCCATATCAGGAGAGGCAAGCTAAGAGGCATTCAGGATGCTCACCACTACCACCAAGCAACTCATCTCCAGAGCTTTGCTTAGGGATTTTCCCAGAGGCAAGGGGTAAGGGAGAAGCAGATCATGAGGCAAATAGCTCCTAGTCTTTTCCCAAAAAACTGCTGACTTCATTTGTAACAGAACTTCTGTTCAAGGCTAAGAGCCCTTTCAAACAGTAGTGGAGGGAATGGAAGAATAAGGCAAATGGGATACTTGTCCGTGGTCAGAACAAGTATCATGCACTGACCTTCAAAGAAGCCACAATTTCATTGTGTTAATGTATAGAGCAATTTATGCCCTAATTGGTAGTTTTTTTTTTTAATTTGAACACTCTGAATATATTGTCCTACTGCTTTCTGACCTTGAATATCTATTTGTAGATATAGAATCTGTATCTAGCAAAGCTATCTTTCAGAGTTGAAGTTAGAATAAAATCTTTACCAGATAAGCAAAAACTGAGAGAATTTGTGCTAGCAGGCACCTTGCAAGGAATATTTAAGGAATATATTCAGACTGAAAGCAAATGACCCTAGATGGTAATTCAAATCCTCATGAAAAAGCAAAGAGCACTCATAAAGGTAATTACATAATTATAACAGGCAGTCTAAGTGCATACTTGTTCTCCTTTCTTTTCTTAGCTGATTTAAAAAGTAATGTTTAAAATGTAAGGTATATAATGTATCATTTGGCTTATAATGTATAGAGGTGTAATATATTTGCCATTAACAGCGCAGAGGAGATGGGTGAGAGCACAGCTGTAATGGGCTAATAAGGAGATGACCACAGATGTTAAAG